ATCGGGCTCCCTGCTCGGCGGGGAGTCTGCTTCTCCCTCTGACCCTCTTCCCTCTCGTGCTCTCTGTCTCTCATTCTCTCTCTCTCAAATAAATAGATGAAATCTTAAAAAAATAAAATAAAATAAAAGGTGAATGTAATTTAAAATTTATGCACCAGCCAAAGTCACCCAAAGTCACCCTTTGTACCATTTTGTAGAGGGATGCGTGCGCCGTACTTTGGCAAACACGACCCCAGCTCTTAGTTGTGCCTGCAGTCGAGTGAAGGACGTTCTAGGAGACCTATCACCCAGCAGACCCCCACGTGAGGCTGGTGGACCAAGTCCCTGCAGGGAACACTATACACACTTGCCTAAAATGTGCCCTCCCCTGATGGCCTGAGGTAGGGAGACTATCTGGGAATTAGAACTGGACCCCACCAGATAATCATATCACCCAGAGCACAGATACCGTAGGGGCAATGAGGGGACAATCTGGGGACCCACTTGCTTCTGTAGGTTCTACCATATCCCCTACTGCACTGTTTTGTGACGATTCCATGTCTGTTTCCTCTGCTCCGAGACCATAAACTTCTCAAAAACAGGACCTGGTTTGCTTGGCTCTATACCTGAGTACTTGGTCAAAGCCAAGACGAATGCCGAATGCCTGTGAAATGAGTGAGTAATATCTGCTGAGCATTGACCTGGCACTAAGCACTGTGTCAAATGCTTCTCGTGGATAGTCTCATTTCCTCTTCACAACCACCTTGGATGTAGCTACTTTTAGCTCATTTTACAGATGAGCAAACTGAGGCCAGGGGGGTTTTACAATTTGCTGAAGGCCACCCAGTGGTAGATGACAGAGCCAGGATCTGAACCCAGGTCCCTCTGACCCCAAAATGTATCAAAAGACTTCTCAGAACAGGGAAGGAGCCAAATCCCAGCTCTGCCCCTTTCACACAAGGCAGTTCTAAGCCTGATGTGTGGTCTGTATTGATAAAACCCACCCCAAGGCCAGTTTTAGATCTTTCCAGGCTGGGGGCGTGGAATCTAACTTAGCAGAGGACAGGACTTGCTGATGTTGGCGGAGAGAGGAAGTCCCAAGCTTTAAATTACATGCAATATACAAAAGCGTCCCATTTCACATAGGGGGTGGGCTCTAAAATTAGCATGCATAGTGAGAGCTGCACAGAATCGAAATAATCTTCAAGAATCCCTTAAGGCATCTTTAAGTCACTGGGCCACTGGCCCTTAGAAGCCCCAAAGGCAAGAATAACTTTGTCCCTTTTTGTATTTGGGGGCTGGCCACCCCCTCCTTAGGTATGGAGGCCAGGGTCTCATTTGAACAGGGAAAAGGTAAGAGGTTACTTAAAGGGATGGCCCTTGCTCCTGCAGATAGAGTTGAAATCACAGTTAATAGCAGATAGTGCACAAATGTCCCCTTCTCTTCCTGGGAGCCACAGCTGTGTGCTCACGAGCCCCTGCCTTGGACACTGTACTCCCCCCTTGGGGGGTCCTCCGAAGGCTGTGTTCTCAGGCAACCCCTCCTTAAGGAAGTCCACGCAACTGGCAGAATGCACCCGAGCATTCATCCGCAGGGTCTGGAGGGCTGACTAACCATCTAAACACACACGCCCTGTGGCCCTTCCCACTCGTTCTCATCTGTAACCTCTGATGTAACATCACATATTGTGAGACCGAAAGTTCTCAGTCGCTGTCCCCGAGTCACCTCTGGCTGTCTGAGAAAAACCCTGCTCGGTTGGTTATTAAGCCAATGGCCCAAGTTCCTTTATCTTCATCAAAACAGCATCTGCCTAGGGGAGAGCTTCTCAGTGGCCGCCTCGGAAACTCTCAGCAGCCTCCCCCGGGCACACCATCTTCCTGTCTCTAGAGTGGAAAGGGTCCAGGTGTCGCTTTGGGGGTGGGTGCTGCTGGGATGGCTCAGGCCAAAGCCCGGTGAAGCCCTGGGGACGGGATGGCCAGGTCCCCCCAGGCGAGTTACCATGGTCTGGAAGCAGGAATGCAGCTGGGTCAGGAACGGCGGCTTCCCAGGCAGGGCCAGCACCCGCTTCTCCACCATCGTGCACTCCACATCGTCATCCTGGATCACGACGTCCTTCTTCAGGATCTTCACAGCATAGAGCTCGTCTGTGCCTTTTCGCTCAGAGAGCATGACCTGGGAGAGAGAGGAAGCCTGTCAGGGTGGTTGGAAGGGCCTGGGGGGAAAGAAAGACATGTTCACTCAAATCCACTCCAAGCTCTGCCCAGATGCCCTCTGTGGACACCAAGTCAAGGGATGACGTCCTCCAAGGACCTCACACTTTGACTGGCTGAACCCAATCAGCAGGCAGGGTTCCAACAGCAACAAGCAAATATTAACCCCTTTGGGATATGCACCAATGCCCAGTCCACAGGGCTAGAATACAAACCACCTGCGGGGAAGTATCTTTGCTTGTTTTGTTCACTGGTGTAATGTAATAGTGCATAGTAGATGTTCGATAAATATTTGTTGAATGAGGGCATGAGTGCCTTCCTGATAACACTGAATGTGGAGCACTTGTTCCCTTATTCACTCAATTATTTAATATTCATTAAGAGCCTGCGAAGCACTGGGAATATGGCCATAAATAAGCAGGCATGTTCTCTGACCCTGCCGTCCAGAGGAAGAAAGACTTCAGATATTAATTACAGGGATGATTAGTGTAATATTTTAACATCCTCTCTCGCAGTCCTGCGGCTTCCTTCCATGCAGCTGTGGTCCCCACCCCAGCATGTTAATCGGTGTGGCTCAGGACACATCATTATTTTTACTGGTCATGACTATGTCAGACGCAACGGTGGCCAGCAGTACTGTTCTCAAGAAGCCTCTTAGAAGAAGCACAGGGCAGCACCACACTGCAAGAGACCTGATCAGGCCTGGGGGCTTCTGGGAAGGCTTCCTGGAGGAAGAAGCAATCAGACTGAAATAAGCATTTACTGCAGGCACTGTGTCAGGTATTTGGCAGGTGATTACCTCAATCACCACTACATTTCTGAGCACTTATCAGTGTGCCAGATAAGTAGTGGTTTTCATTTGTTATTTCTCATTCCTTTGTGTAGAATCTAGAAGGTAGGTACCTTTAAGAACCCTATTTTATAGGGAAGCAAGGCTCACGGAGGGTAAGAAGCCTGTCACACAGCAAGTTCAATTAGAGACAGGGACAGGATTTGAACTCAGGTCTACCTGACTCTAAAGTCTCTGCCTTTAAACGCTGTACTTGCCCAGAGCTCCAGAAGAATCCTCAAGGAGTTTAGGTGGTCACACAAATAAAATGCTCATACCGGACTCAGCTGGAGGACCAGAGAATGCAACAGAGCCCTAAGGCCAGAGGGAGGGATACCTAGAAGGCTCTCCAAGGCAGGAGGGCAGCTGGGCAACCTCCATTCAGCTCTTATCCTAGGGGTAAGAGTCTGACTGCATGGAAGCTTCCAGGCTGAGCCCACTGGCTCACACAGAGGCCCCATCTCCTGCTTTCACCATCTCCTTTCTCACCATAGCCAGGGCGGCCACAGGCAATGCAGATCCAGGAATTTAGAGCATTTAGCAAGAAAGCTCCTGGTGCACACTTCCTCTTCCTCTACCATAGGACAGTTCTCAACTTCTCCCCTCTGGCCCCACCGTAGAAATAAGGGTTGCCAAACTGAGCGAGTCCTACCTGCTGGGCGTTTACTCAGTCCCCATGCAGATCTGCCAGCCCACGGGGCAGGGTGGGGCTCAACGTGCCAGGCTGTGTGTTCTCAGTGTGTTTCCCATCTCCTCCCAGTTCTCTCGCTAGCCCCCAAAGGCCGTTTTCCCTCTCCCAGCCCTCAACAAGGTAGACATGGACAACTCCACGAGGCTAGTATTCTAAGATGTAAAGAGTCAGGTGGAGATGGGGGTGTTCTGCTCCCAGATTCCAGAGAAGGCTGGGGATGGTGCAAGTGCAGGGAGGAGGCAGGGACGTGACTTGGCCAGAAGACACATGGGTAGAGGGGCTGAAGGCGGGAAGAAGAACCTTCAGCTGAGGAGACCCTCCGAGTGCAGTAGGAGGGGCTCAGTGCTGAGCCGGCTTCGAGTGTGGACAGCCCCACTGACCCATCACCACCGGTCAAGGCATCATCTAACTAACAATCCTAAATTCTTGTAAACATCCCCTTCCGGACTGCCCAAGACAGAACAGAGGGGCCTCCGACACCCCAAATGTCGATGCAGTCATGATGGGACATCTTAGCCTCTTGCCTAGAGAAGAAGCAAGACAGATGGCTGGGAATTCCCCGGGCACCAGGGACAGGGTGGACATCCTACAGCTATTTCAATTATCCCCACTTCACAGATAAACAAACTGAGGTTCAGAGACATTAACCTGCTCAAGCTAACAAGTGCTCTAAAAATGCGGCTTTGTCCATGCTACTCAAGTGCAGACAATCCTTCAGGGACTCCCACAAGGCTCACAATCCCATGACTCCATCCTCTTCTTGCTTTTCCTTTGAATCTTCTATCCCCACCGTCTGCAGTGTCCTTCTACACTCTTTCACTGCCCAGAAAATCAGAGATTCAACTCCGTTGCTACCTCCTTCTCTAATCCTCAGTGTTACACTCAGACCAAATGGGTCACTCCCTGCCCTGGGCACCAGGACTGTTTTGCACCTGTCAGTCACTTTAACACAAGCTTCCCAAACTTCAATCAGTCATTCATGTGCCTTTTTTAAACATCTTTTCCTATCACCTAAACTGCTATTCGCTTAGTATTTTAAACATCTAGTCACATTTTTTACTGAACTAAATTTATCTGAAAAAGGAAACTTTGGATCACCACTATTAATGGCAAGCCAGTATCACTAGCCATAAATGGAAGATCAGCATAAAAATAAATAAAAGCAAAGCAGTGCTAAGAAATTCTAGCTAGCTATTGCTAGCTGCTGAAGGTTCCAAGCCAGCCCCTGCGTGTTCTCCTTGTTAAAGGAAAAAATGGTGTTAGCAAATGTAAGAGAACCATTAACAGCATACATATTGTCATCAAACAAGATTTTCTTGTTCAAGTAATTAGAAAGATTGAAAGAAAACATAAAGAGAGCATAACCTTATCATGATGTGATTTACTTTCATTTAGTATCACATCTACGTACCACCTACAAACAGTCTCAAGCGCGAAACTAAAATCGTCTTGCAAATCATCAATGCTATGTGCTTCACACCTTAGGAAATACTGTGGCATTTGTAGAAATCGTTTTTTAAGTCAATCAGCGGGGATGTGTAAAGACTCTGGTGCCTTGCCCTGTCCTAAGCAACATGGGTAGAAGGAAGAATAAACCAATACCAGATAGCACCTCTGACATCGTGGGAGTAGTACGAAAATGAGCCAAGGTCGGGAAATTCCTCTGTATTGGCTGGAGGAGAGTGGAAATGACACACATGGAACACTGGGTAACAATTTAGGCATAGAACTGAATCGGATTCTAGAGCAGGGCTCAGCAAGCTTTTCCCATGAAGGGCCACATAGTAAATATTGTAGGCTTTGCAGGGCAATCTCTGTATCAGCTACTCAACCCTGCCATTGTAGCGGGAAAGCAGCCCTTGACAATATACACATGAATGGGTATGGCTGTGTTCCAATACAATTTTTTTTGTAGGGGCGCCTGGGTGGTTCAGTCGGTTGAGTGTCCGCCTCTGGATTTTGGCTCAGGTCATGATCTCCAGGTCGTGAGATCGAGCCCTGCGTCGGGCTCTGCACTGGGCGTGAAGCCTGTTTAAGATTCTTTCTCCCTTTCCGGGGCGCCTGGGTGGCTCAGTCGTTAAGCGTCTGCCTTCAGCTTGGGTCATGATCCCAGGGTCCTGGGATCGAGTCTCACATCAGGCTCCCTGCTCAGCGGGAAGCCTGCTTCTCCCTCTCCCACTCCCCCTGCTTGTGTTCCTGCTCTCGCTGTCTCTGTCAAATAAATAA